GGCTCCTAAAATTCTGGAAAGTTTGAGGTCCTATTTTGTGTATGCTTTAAGAAATTAAAACGGAAAATATTCAGAATCATAGGCTCCCGGACTTCCAAAATTCACCATAGTGTCCCCTTAAGAGCGAGGGGTGCATATCTTCGTAAAATTGCTTTCAGGGATTTGATTCCTAAAAGATTCGGAAGGATTCGAAAATTTTCTAGTATTAGGAAAGATTTGAAAAATTGTAAGGATTGTAAGGGATTGGAGGCCGATTAGGAGGCATTAGTACGGATTGGAAAGGATCAGAGGGGATTGGGGTGGGGTTGGAAGGGTTCATGGCAGAATTGGTAAAATTTTAAGTGGGATTGGACGAGTTTTGACTTAAAAAGAACAAAGAAGTGATAATACGATAACCACAGAAGTCGTCGGAGATGCCGACCTATTTTTGACCAACTTGTACCACCGTGGTGGGTATGTAACCTCGACTGCACCCCCGTCTCTTTTGTTAAACGTTTTATGTGGATCAGCGCGCACAGTGAAATGATTAGTCTGAGGGCCTGAATTCGACGTTATTAGGGATTAGAGGACAACAAATTATTCCGGTAAAGAAAAATGCGAGGAAGAAGTGCGTGCAAAATAAATTGACCAGTTTCAGTTTTGGTGACAGGAAGAAGAAAAGAAGAACCGAAACAGGAAACAGTTAGGTGAGGGGCGAAGAGGGACGGAGGGGGGAGGGGGGGGCAGAAGGCAGTGCTTTTCTGGTTATTACCTAGCCTGAAATGGTCTTTTGAACTTGTCGAATAAACTAACGTAAATATTTCCTTTTAAAAATTCAAAAAATCTTCGAATCATCACATAGACCTAAATATTAGTGCATTTTGTCCCGTCAATCTAGTTACTTCCGTTTGTTAGTCTTCTAGCAATACCGGTATAGATTAATGGTTGAATTATGGTGTGGATTTCGAGAAATTTAGCAAGGTTTCAGTAGATTAGATCATTCTTGATTTTTAGGGAGTAGGGGGATTTGAGGGATTCGTAAGGATTCGCAGGGATTCAAGGGATTGGAGACGGAATGGAATGGGATTGGGTTAAGAAGGAGTACAAGGGTTTTCGAAGTGATGCACCCCCCGACTAGGGAGATGGAGAGTAGGGGGTTAAAGTGAAATTTGTCATTATTTTTTTTCATTTTTCAGCCCCTTATACGGTCTGAACGGTTTATCTGACCCCAAAATGTACCTGGCCATTGGATTTCCTACACCTTTTTACCCCTCAGGCAACTGGAGATTCAGTTTTAACAACATTTTTCTTCTAAAGACAATTCTTGAAGTATTTGTTGGCATTTGGGTCAGATATCAAGCGCGCATAATTTCTCAGCCAAAACTGATTTTAAAAATCCAAAAAAATGTGCACACTTGTAGATTGCTCGAGTAAAGAAACTGACACGCCAGTTTTTAAAAGAAATGCATCCCTGATTTTCATTGCCAACACAAAATGCATGACTAATTTAACGCCGTTTTCTGATACTCAAATAATTTGAACTATGTATGTAAATTTATTTTGGACAAAAGATCGACTATAACCTTTTACAGTGATTAATTTCAAACTACAGGCAAAGCTCTTTCGGTAACGTGGCGTAAGTGAAAATGCGCGCAAGATAAAGACAATCCTGACAAATCAGATTTAAAGTTTCAGATGCAATTCAATTTATTGCCTTTAACTATAGCTACACCTGCCCTGGCTCAGCACTGTTAAGGAAAGTTGTACTTTTACGACATAAATTGCGTACGAACTGGTCGTTAAATCTCGAAAACGATTAAAAGTCGTCAAAAAACTGCAAAGTCCTCAAATTGACAGAAACTAATTGTAATTTCAGGTTTACGATAACTTTGTAATAAAATTGATTAGTTGTAAATTCAGATTTACAAATAGTTTGTAAACAAACTGAAATTAATCGTAAATATACAAATTATTTGTAGAAAGATTGAAAATAATAGTAAGTCCAAAATGAGAATTAATTCGTAATAATAAAATCTAAGCAATTGTTATTTAGATACGATGACTCTCTGTTCAAATTATTATTACATGGCAGCCACAGTGCCTCAGACTGTGTATGGCAAAAAGAACTCCTTTCATTTAAGGGCTTTATGCCTTTCTTCAAAGGTTTTAAGAAAGGTAC